CCAAGTGAACATTGGCTACATAAAAAGATACAATGTCAGCAAAAACTTGTTAATAAAACACTAACTGAAATAACTGGATATTTAAGAAAGAAATGGGCATTCAAAGGTTCTCATACTAATTGGAAGGAAATTAAAGATATTCTTTCACTTTAGATTTTATTAAGTTAAATATACCTCATAAAATTTTTAGTATAGCCACTAGAAGATGAAAAAATAGATTTAACCTTATAACTTTAAAGGAAGAAGGAGAAAGAGTACAGAAGTAGAAGAAAAAACATGGGAAATATGAGATAAATAGAAAATACAAAATAAAATGCTAGAAGAGAATCTCAATTTATAAGTAATCAAAATTAATATAAATCAACTAAGCCCTAGATAAAAGAGTTTTACACACTGGATTATTTATGACTATTTATAACAATCTAAAACATAAGGATATATAAAGTTTAAAAGTAAAAAAAATACATATAATTTAAAAGGCAAAAGAAAGATTGATAGCTGTATTAAAGTATGAAAAATGGACATTAAGATCAGAAAAGCATTACTAGAAAAAAAATATCATTACATGACCATGTCCATTTCAACAAAAGATATGAATCCTAAACTTGTGTTTACTTATTATATAGCCTCAAAGTGACAGGAACTCAAGGAGCAATTGATAGAAGTAATAGGGAAATTGACATACACCTTCATAGTGAGAGGTTTTTAACATGCCTCTGAAGTCATTAGAAAGCAGATGCATAAAAAGATTCAGGATTTAGAGGATGTGAGGACACATTTGACAATCATAGTCTAATTGACTTAAAAAGAACACTCCATCTAACAAATGGAGAATTCACATTCTTTTTAAGGACACAGAACAATTTAAAAAACTTATCACTTGCTAGACCATAAAGCAAGCTTCATAAATTTTCACAGAATTAATATTCTAGAGAACATACCTTTCTGACTATAATACAAATAAGACCGAAACCAATCACCAAAAGATAGAGGAGAACCCATCATTTCGGAAATTAAAACATGCACTGAGAAAGCTCATGTGTCAAAAAAGAATATAATGAGAATTGGAATATACTTAAAATAAGTCATAATGAAAACACTATATATCAAAATTTGTGGGTGTAGCTAAATTGTGACTAGAATATTTTGCTTTAAAAGTATTCTATGTGCACCTGGCTGGTTTAGTTGGTTCAGCATCTGACTTTGGCTCGGATCTTGGTGTCCTGCATCAGGCTCCCCACTGAGCCAGGAGTCTGCTTCTCTGTCTTCCTCTGCCCATCCCTCTGCTCACACATGTGTGCTCTCTCTCAAATAAATAAATCAAACCTTTAAAAAATAAATAAAACTATTCTATTAAAAAATAAGACTGAAATTCATAACCTAAGCATCATATTTGAGAAGTCAGAAAAGAGAAATAGAATAAGCCCCCAAAAAGCAATGGTAAGGCAATAAAAAGATAAGAGCAGAAATTATCAAATGACAAAGATAGGTCAATCAATCCTAAGAATGGTCCTTAAAAGAAGGATTGCCCGGGCGGCTCAGTCAGTTAAGCCTCTGACTCTTGGTTTTGGCTCAGGTCATGGTATCAGGGTCCTGAGACTGAGCCCCATGTCGAGTTCTGCACTCAGTGCAGAGTCTGCTTAAAGATTCCCTACCCTTCTGCTCTCCCCTGCTCACATGAGTGTGCTTTCTTTCTCTCTCATAAATAAATCTTTTTTAAAAAAGAAAAAGAAAGAAAACTCAAAATCACCAAGAATTTTTTTTTTTGAGAGAGAGAGCATGAGCAGGGAGAGAGAGAATCTTAAGCAGGCTCCACAACCAGCCCAAGGAGGAGCTCAGTCTCATGACCCTGAGATCAAGACCCTAGCTGAATTCAAGAGTCGAGTTGCTTAAGCAATTGAGCCACCCAGGCATCCCTACAATTACTAACAATATTTTTAAACATAAATGAGATGAAGCAAAAGGTAATAATGAAAAAGGATGACTTTAACAGCAATTGAAAGAAAATAAAAGAATATCATGACCAACTTCATGCCAATAAATTTTAAAACTTTTTTTGAATGGGCACATACCATGAAAAATATCAATGATCAAAATCTGACTCAAGAAGAAATAGAAAATCTGAGAATTTGAATTTGCTTCTAGTCATGATAGAAACTGAATCAAATATCTCAAATTTTGCACGGTGAAAATACCAGGCTCAGACAATTTTATGAGTAAACTCAACCAAACTTTTAAGGAATGGAAAATTTCCAGATTATGTAAGCTCTTTCAGGAAATTGAAAAAGTTGCAGGGAAGAAGGGCTGCTACATTCTCTAACTTAGTTAATGAGGCTAGTCTAATGCTGACCTCAAAATCAACTGAAGGCACCTTAAGAAAGGAAAAATCACTGGCTAGTCTCCATCCTGAACATGGATGCAGAAATCTGAAACAGAATGTTAGTATACTGAATCTGATAATTTTTTAAAGATTTTATTTATTAGAGAGTAAGAGAGAGAGAGAGAGAGAGAGCGCACACAAGCTGGGGTAAGGGCAGAGGAAGAAGCAGACGCCCCACTGAGGCAGGAGCCTGATGTGGGGCTCGATCCCAGAACTCTGGGATCATATTTTCAGCCAAAAGCAGAAGCCACCCAAGCACCCCCAATAATTATTTTTTAAAGTAATGCATAATTACCAAGTTAGATTTACTTCAGGGATACAAATTTGTGTTTGTGTTAGATAAGCAAGTAACAAAACTTTTACATTATTTTCTTCTTGAAGAAGAAAAACCAAATAACCATCTCATTGGAAAATGAAGTTGTGGACATGGTCCTAACAGGACTACAAAGTGAAGGAGAAAGAATATGAAAAAGGAAAAGAGGAAAGTCCTTTGGGTATGTGGCAGAAACTAAAGATTTATTTGCTTCCATAACATTAGAAAATATGTCTCCACGATGGATATATTCTTTGAGTACTTGTCCTGGGTGATATCAGCAACCAGATTATTTTTAATAAAACAAATTTAAAGCACCAAACATAAAAAGTATATGATACATCTGTAGTAAAATAGTTACCTTTCTTTATTCTTTTCCCTTCAAGTTAAAGTCTTAGAAATAGCCCACAGGAATAGGCTTTTAAATCATTTTTTTTTTTTTTGCAGTGGTCTACTTTCAGTTATATAGTTAAAAATACATTTGGGGGTCACTTCAAATAATGGTAAACAAACAATGGTAAATAAAGCAAAAAATATTAAACATTTTGAACCAGATGGCCAATGGATAGTCAATAAAAAGCTTAAAATATTGTGAAACTGCAAAATTATGAAATCAGTTCAAACTGATATGTAGCCTATGAAGTCTCCCTTTTTAACTCCAATCAAGAATTTTCTAGGAACATTCTCTGCATTTTTCCTGCAGATATTCAATATTCTTTTAGAAGTATCCAGTTTTATTCTTATGGGATCAAATATTTACACCAAGCTCTTAGGGAATCACGTAATACCAATGAAGAGTATTGTTGGCTTCCACTCAGTTCAAATTGGTAAGATGAGTATCCAGATAATTGAGGCAGACAAGGTCCGTAGGATCATTTTCCACTTACCTACAAACCAGAGCTCCTCCAATGACTGCATATTTATGCCTAGGCTTCCAAGGAATCATGGCATTTCATGCACAGGCTCTGGAACTATAAACTGTGGAGAAGAGATGTTTACTGAGCATCAGTATGTTCACAGAGGCTCTTGCTCTGAACCATGTTTTCTGCATCCCACTTATTGAGGTCATTTTAAGGATAGTGGAGATGTCAGTGCAGTAACTGATACAGGTTATAGAGTTTTCCGTGGAGTGTTTCTCCCCCTTTACTGATACTTCCTTACAATCTGAAGGGAGACCAAAGGGAACAAGAAAGCAGCAATGTGCTCTTTTTAAATGTCAAGTTATCTAACTGGTAGGTTAATTTAGACACCAAAACTTTATTGTACAAACTTGGAAACACTTGCCACATTTTTGTTTGAGGCAGATATATGTGGTGAGAATAAGGCTGTCTCATTGGTCCCTGGGGTAAAGGTGGCTGATCAAACAAGTTAAGGCAGAGCCCCCCCTGCAATACCCATCAGGGATCTCCCCCAGCCATGCATCTGGATGGTGAAAATCCCTGCCCATTTGAGGAAGCTTTGTTTTTTATTTGAGACCACAGGGTGGCTACTTAAATGCAAAAGGAAGAGAATTACATATTTCAAAACCAACTAAATGAAAAGCCATTATTTGTTTTCTATTCTGAATAATAGTCCGAATGCACTGATGATAAGAGATGGAGGGAATATTTTGAAGTTCAAAATTAAAACTTTAGGGGCATCTAGGTGACTCAGTCAGTTGAGTATCTCACTCAGTTTGGGCTCAGGTCATGACCTCAGGACGGTGAGATCAAGCCCCAAATGGGGCTCTGTGCTCAGCAGGGAGTCTCCTTGAGATTCTCTCTTTCCCTATTCCTCTGCCCTTTCCCCCCATCTCTCCAATACTCAAATCTTTAAAAAAAAAAAAAAAGAATGAAAGCTAAAGCTTTAATGTACAAAATATAATATAGATATCAAGAAACTGAAATCAAAATATTGAAAATAGATAAAAGAATCTGGTATTTAGAAAGGGTCATTCAAATGCAATTAGGCCATACCTCACCCACTGCTCCCTTAACAAATGATCTGATACATTCAACAGATAAATAACATTGTTTCAAAGATGAATGAAATGCTTTGCCAAATAAGGCTTAGCTGTGAACACAACTGCCAAATATTCAGGAGGCATGCTCGCTGGAGGCAAGGGCACGGGTGTGGACACCCAGAGAAGGTAGAGCGAAATGCCACTTGGGAGGCAGGAAAAGCCTGACGTGGAAGATGAGGAAAAGGCAGTGAGGAAGAAAGTAGAAGCTATGGGACAGGGAAAACATAAAGCCACATCTTCTAGGCATGATTCCAAAACGTGGTGACTGGATTCATAAAGCACCTGCTTTTTCTTGTCTCCCTCAGTGTTTACTTATCCAGAAAATGGCACTGACGATTCCAGACACCAAGCAAAGAACATAAACCACCAGGTATTTATCACTGTTAACTTTAAAAAATTGCTTTACCAGCAAAACACAAATTTATTCAGAAACAGCAGAAAATGTCAATGCAGGACAAGTAAACTATGGCAAAACCATAGGCAATCCCACCAAACAAAGGAGGGAAAGGCTGTTTTGTAGAGACAAGGAGGGAGTTGGGGGGAGAATGCTATAAACAAAAAGTCCATTGGAGGAAACTAGGAACACTAAGTATGGTGGCTTTTCATTGGCTGAGCTGAGATTGTCTCTTATTGGCTGAGCTGTTGGCTTCCCTCTTCCTGCTGGGACAGTAAAGTAGTAGTTGCATAGTATCCACAACAAGGTCCCTGTCTTCTTATTGGGTCTAAGCTGACTACAAGAAACAGGCCATAATAGCTCCCCCAGCCCGGCCTCCTGACTCCATTTTAGTGAGAATTCCCTGTATTTATATTCATAGATGTCACAGAAGATAGACCAGGCATAGTCCCTAGATCCCATTACAGATCACTACCTAAGTGGGTTATGAAATCTAGTTAGTAGGTCCCAGAACAGAATAGAGTCTAGAATAGAACAGAAAAGAACAATGTAGCATAAACGTGTGGTGGCATAGGTAACGTAAAACCATGCATCACAGTGCATCAAAGGTAAAAAGGATATGTATTGTGTTGTATACTTTTTGCTACCATTGTATATGTTATATTCAAATTGATGCATACTGTAAGGTGTGTACATTACATAATTACATAATCAATTATGACCGTATTTTATAGTATGTAAATATATATTTTATGCTCACTTATATATAATACTATATAATTATATCTATATAATTAGAACAGGATAGACTAGGACAGAAGTATATAACTTAAGGTACTTGAGCTTTGGATAGAAGAGTGAATCAAAGTTGTGTACAACTTTTGTTTATGTCTTATATAGTATATGTTTATCATATCATGTATTTAAACATATTATACAATTCTGTATATCATATATAATTTTATATACACATATATAACATAATGATATATATATGTTATGTATGTTCTATTGTATTATATAATAGTAATATTATGCAGTTATATTTTGTATGTTATGTAGTTTGTGTTCATTATGTATTACAAAGTGAAAACATTTATATAGCATTGACATATATTTGGATAATAATGATAGGTAATATTTACATAACACTTATAAGACTCTTGGATAATCTATAAAGTGGGGACAACAATTGGGGGCTGTTGTGAGTATGCCAATGCATGTAACATAATGCCTGGCACACACAGTAAGTTATCAAAAATGGTAGCCTTTATTACCATTATTGCAAGGTTTCATGGTCAGGAGATGGTGATTCTTTGATACAAACTAAATCAGTCTGATGTCAAACACTATGCTTCTGTCACAACATGCATGAACTAATTGCTCTTGACTATACCAGAGTCCCTTTGATAGGCTAGCTACCAAATTTTAGGCTGACTGATTAAAAATTCAATTTTAGGAAATGAAAGCTGCTTACTACAACTCATATGTCCCTATTTCTATAGTGTGAATATTCCCATTCTTGGGGCCAAGCCTGTCACCTTTCATGAACAACTATAGCAAAGAAAAAGCTGATTTGAAGACATTTGTAGTTATTTCTAACAGATTTACACACTATTGGCTTTGGTTTCTAATGAAATCAAACTTAGCTAAGAAACTTAAAATAAACCTATGGTTGAAACAAAGCCTGAATAATAGTTTGATATTTTAATACTCACAGTCCTTACACTAGAATTACATTGCATTCACTTACTTATTTTCTGTTTTCCTCCTTCCTTCTCTCATTTTTCTATTATTTTCTCTTTCAGGGATCTCTTTCCAAAGAACCATTACAGATGAACACCTATGTTGCCTTGTACAAATTTGTACCACAGGAGAATGAAGATTTGGAAATGAGGTAAAAAAAAAAAAAATTTTTTTTTAGAAAAAAGAAAGAAAATTTAAAGTCAGTGTTTTTCATGTAAAAAAAAAGAATTCAATTAGTGCTACATCCTAATGCCTTGGAGCAGTGACTGTCACACGTGAGCCAGCATCCAGTGACCTCTGGGGCTGGTTAGCTGACAGATTATTGGACCCTGTCCCTGCAGTTTCTGATCCTGCAGGTCTGGGGGGCGGGGTTAGAGAATTTGCATTTCTAACTGGTCAGCAGGTGCTTCTGATGCTGCTGATCAGGGACCCCACTTTAAGAAGCACAGTTTTACTGCATCAGCAGCAGAACTGTCAATGGGTGTTTGCGTGCAGCTTGAGCGTCAAATGCTCTTGCCATCTTGTGGGGTCTAATAGGGAATCAAAATTAATGTCTTGATTTTTTTTATTTTAGATTGATTGGTTGATTGATTGATTGATTGATTGATTTGACAGAGAGCTAGAGAGAGAGCCCAAGTAGGCAGAGTGGCAGGCAGAGGGTGAGGGAGAAGCAGGCTCTCCACTGATTAGGTAGCCTGACTCGGGACTCAGTCCCAGGACACTGGGATCATGACCTGAGCTGAAGGCAGCCACTTAACTGACTGAGCCACCCAAGTGCCCCAAAATCAATGTCTCTAGTGGCCAAACTGACACAGGTTAAAAGATCAAACTAAAACCACTTGTTTATCCTGGCAGCTTCCCCCTGCTGCACACCCTGAGCTGTGCTTTTGTTTCAGGATCCATCCCACTTCATGGTACCTGAAATACGGGGGAGGATAAGGTGAGCTTTGGGACCCTTGTGCAATCCAGGAAAGCTGGAGTCCGTGCTGAGTTCACATGCTGCTTGTTGTGTGTCTTTAAGCAATGTATAAACACTTCATTGCTCTGATTTCCTTACTTATAAAAGAATAACAGTGACCTCTTCACCCTGAGATATTTTCGAGGGTGAAATGAACAATGTTCATAAAGCATATAGTACAGTTCCTCGTCATTATAAACACTCAGTAACTGACAGTTATTACAATTTTTATAACGTGGTGTTCACTGACCTACCTCAGAGAAAATGCTTTATTTCTTTCCTCCATGTATTGACCGCAAAACATAGGAGTTTGGTGTTTTTTGACCGTAGAACAGGATAGAAGGGGTTGCTTTTCTAGTCAGATGTTCCCTCAGAGATCAGTTCTTTCCTCTTCTGAAGAGAACAGAGAGCTAAAACTATTGAAATGCCGGAGAATTAGGGATTTATCCTCCATTTTGAGGTGGACTCCACTTGTCTGTCATGGAGGCCAGGCCACCAGTTGCTAGTCATTCCCTTCACATGGCTTCTGGAAGGTGTTGTCTCTCCACCCTGGAGCTCTTTGGACTTCTCCTTCTCAGACTGTGCCATTTCCCAGGCATGATCCCTGTCCTGCTTGCCTGAGCTGGTTTCCCATTTCTTTCACTTTACACAAAGCCCCCAAAAAGGAAAGAGCTACCAAAAGTCTCCAGTTAGCCCCCCTTTCCCAGGTTCCATGTGCCATGAGGTCAAGCCCAGCAGTCTGGCTGCCCGTCATCCAACAAGACTCCATAGCCGCTGTGTGTATCCTGCCAGAGTCTGGCTCATACCCAAGGTCAGCTTGGTTTCAGTATTCATTTGCCATCTTCTTCCAAGTGATTCTTGGGCCTTTCCAGAGCAGAGATCAGGGCCTGAATGCTGGCGCCCGGTATCTGTTCAGACAAGTAGGCTCTTGTCGTCTGAGTTGTCTCCATCAATAAGGAGGACTCGCCATGCTGAACTCACTGGCTGGAGTTATAAACAGTCCCAACAGTCTGGCATCTGTGCAGCAGGAGGTGAAGGCATTTACCAAGTGAAGCTCTGTTCTCTCAGAGATAGAACCAGCCCTAGAGTCAGAGCCTGCCTGGGAGTCATGGCTGGGGGGCTGCCTGTCCAAAGAAATGTGGACAGCTGACTGTCCACAGTCAACTCTCTACCAATGAAGACAAGGGTGATATCTATTCACGTTGCAATAAATACTCTTTATTGTGTCCTTCCTGAGACCGTCATTTGGATATCTAGACTTTAAACTGGAACAACTTCCCTGTGTGGCAGTCCCACCGTTTTATACCGGAAGATTGTTCTGAAGTCAGCAGATGAAAGGAACAATTCCAAAGAATGATAGGATGTTATTAGGGTACTAAGAAATGATGTCTAGCTGCCTGGTATGGTGGTCATAAATTTTTGTGCTTATTTTAGACAGTTGCAGGTCATTAAAAGTCAAGTTGTCTGGTCACGAATCAAACATTTACAGTCTGCTCTGAGGCAAACAGGACTATTCATTCCCAGGAGTGAAATTCTTGCATTACATAGACTGCAGGATTGGAGTGATAAATCATAGTTTTTCCTTTTTTTTTCTTTTTATCTTTTTTTCTTTTTTTTTTTTTTTTCTTTTTGCCAAGAGATTGTATGTTCCCAGTTTAAAAGCCGGGCACTTGATTTAAAATGTGTAAAGCAATGCTTCGGGGATTTGATATAATTCCTTGAGTGAACTGATGCTTTGTGAATTATCCTTTCCTCTTCATACCATAAGGTAGAAAAAAATTCCTTTTAACAAAATATCATTCTTATCCACCTACATTCTTATCCAGGGGAGCACACGGGTATTGTCCTCAGGGCAGAGGATAAATGAGGTGAGGGCACAGGGAATGTTTGGAGTGTAAGCTTGAGGGCAAAGATGTCCCAATCGGCGAAGCCAACTGTAGGTCAGAGCAGCTGAATCATTACTTCAGCAAATATCCATTATGTATCTGCTCAGGAGCAAGGAAAGCTTTTCAGCCAACAGCTAACAGTCCAGACCTTTCTACTGACCTCCACAGAGCTCAACTCATGTTTCGCTTCCTCGACGCACCCTTTCCTGATACCCCCAATCTGGGTGCGAGTCCTCTGTTATCTCCTTTCATGACACCATATTTCTTTCCTTTAAAGCCCTTACCTCAACTTGTGTTTATATATTTCTGGAATTATTTGGTGAACCTCTATTTCTCCTATAACCTCCATGAGAACAAATCTGTCATTGCTAGCCTGTCTAGCATAGGACAGTTCTTGAAACAGCAGATACTTAAAGAATAGGTGATGAGGAAATGGAGAGTATCGTGGAGATGAAGTGAACTAATATTGTGCCTGCCATGCACAATGTGGGAATGTCAAGTACATGATAATATCCTGGGAATGATAAAAGGGGAAGCAAACGAAGCTCAGAGGGCTTAGCCCAGACCTCTTTCCTGGAGGAGATGGGCCTTGATCCCATGATGAATATCATTTGTCAAGAAGAAACGGTATAAAAGGAGATCAAAGGGTGTCAGATGGTTGGGAAGAAGCCCTGGTAAGCCCTTACTGAGCACTCACGGTTGAGAGGTGGAAGAGTAGGCCTCAGAAAGTATACTCTGGGGCACTGCCCCCTCAGTCTTAGGGCAGTGAGTCCGCCTCTTAGAAGTCCCACGGTCCTATCATTGGTCTCCAAACGCTGTCTAAAGACAGCATGTCCAAAGACATGAAGTCATCCACTACCTCCCCAAGTTGCTGGAGCTCTCATGATAGTAGCTCTGTCCATCCAGCATGAGCTCGAGAGCCAGACAGAACAAGGCGGCAGGGCGGAAAAGCACTATTGGGGAGTCACAGAGACCGAGTCTGTTCCCCAGTGTGATTCTTTCCAGCTGCATCTATTTCAGCCAATGTTGCAATCTCTGGGAGGTGGGGGGTGAGGGGGACAGTTTTCTCCTTCCCAGGGAGACCGAGTATTAAACCAGATGATGTAAATAAAAGGTGGGATATCATGCCCAGTACAAAGCGAGGTGCACAGTGTATTTTAGATCCCTTCTTAATTTGCATCTTTTCACAATATGTTTTATTTCCAAGTCGTCTGGATCCCATCGACACTACCCTAAGGATATAGTAGTTGAAAAAAAACCACAAAGTCTCTCTCTGGCCTTTGCGCATGTTCAGTAGGACTTCATCTAATTTGTCCAGCCAAAAGGAGACTGTGAGACCCTGCCCCTCATCTTCTGAGTCCCTTTTGCAGTTGCTGACTTACAGATATGACATTTTACGCCTGACATGAAAGACATGGTGCCAACATGCACAGGATCCCCGGACCATCACTGACCACTCAAGGTCTGATAACATCAAAGAGCACCCCATTCCTCTGTCTGAGTGTAATGAGCTTTTATAGTAGATAAACCTCTGAAATTAGGGTCTTAAACAGCTTCCACCAATGACACTTACTATCAAATTTTTTAAGAGCTTTGTAAATTACACTTTACGGATGGCCAGCTTAATACATGAGCCAAGCTTTTTAAAATGCTACTTGAAATACAAACCATTATCATCAGCACTGACACCGTTATGGTATATGCTGCCTTGTGAGGGCACATAGTGTGTATCCTAGTGGGTGAGTATATGCATGTGAGACACTTAATATGCTCATACACGCCCACATGCTCACAGTCAGATACACACACACATTAATATGCCCATGCACACTTGTTCATTCACACACACATAGTTAACAAGAGCTTCGTAGCACATGCTTAGCTTTTCTCCTTCCACATTTACGGTGTAATCAGTCCCATTATCCTTGCCAATTTGGGGTTCAGAAATCTGCAAAATAGTCTTAGAGCCGTTGCTTATTATTCACACCAACACGCCTTTTAAAAATCATTAAGAATAGGGGCACCTGAGTGGCTCGGTGGGTTGAGCGTCCGGCTCTTGGTTTCGACTCAGGTCATGATTTCAGGGTCGCAGGATGGAACCCATGTAGGCTCTATACTCAGCACAATCTGCTTGTCCCTCTCCCTCCCACTTTGACCCTCCCCACCCCCACAAACACCTGTGTGTGCGTGCACTTGCTCTCTCACTTTCTCTCCAAATAAAGAAAATATCTTTTAGAAAATAAAAATAAAAGTCAATAAGAGTAATTTTTATGGCTTTGCCATGCTGGTATATCTTGTAAATAAGCA